CAAGGCTAATGGGCATAGTCCGCCATATTATTTACGGGAGTTTGAATTCAGAGATTTTCTTCTTTAAGACGAAAAATGAGATATTTAAAATCTTCCTCGGGTTTACGACCATATCATGTTGAAACACAGGTTCCCGTATGATCACGGAAGATAGACATTTTCGAGTCTGGTCAATACATAGATGGTTAACCACTAGGGAATATCAAGTGCTGTAAGCTTGGATGTGAGGATAATGGCCCGGAATTTTTAATCGGAGTGTCGAGTTCTAATTCCAGTCGGGTTCGTTATATTAATTTTTTTCTTTTTCTTTTTTAAGCATTTCACCCCAAGCAAGACGGGAGTGCCACTAGTACGCAGGGGGTTACAGAGAGTTTAAGTAAGGGAAAAGACTGGGTAAAGGGGGGGGGATTGAGGAAAGGACAAAAAGAAGAACTGAGAAGGAAAAAGGGGTTAAGGAATCAGAAGACGTCGATTAATATTACACTTAAATTTTTGAAGATTATAGTTATCAGTGAAGCATGTAAGAGGAATGGAGTTCCACTGCTGGGAAGAGTGAGCGAAGAAGCCGTTGAAGTAGAAGAGGCGGTTACATTTAATTGTTTCGACATTAAAAGGGTGGGACCGAAATGCCAACCTAGTAGCACGCTTAAATTGATGCGGTCAATGCACCAGTAAAAATAGCTCGTCAGAGCAGATGCCATGCCTTGGGAAAGATATGAATCCACCTTTTCTCTCTAGCTATGGGTTAATTAGTAAGACGTGTATCACTAAATCATTATTATCTGCAAAAGTATTCTTACAATCCAAAAATAATGCCTGGCTTTAAATAGCCTGCAAGGTGTTGATAAACCGTCGGAAATGTATCAATCTATCATTAAAATCTCTCTCAGTCATTGTCAATGCAGCGTTTACAAAATGCGACTGAGTATCCCGCATGCGCAGTAAGGTCCTCTGTGATTAACAGTCCTCCTAAACAGCCCTCGATGTAATCCAAATCGTCGGATTATTTCAAGATTAAACTAAGAAATAATAAGAAGAGAAAATCATGACGTGAAATCTTTCCATATTTGCCGTATTAGTACTAATCTAATAATCCTAGTAATTTAATAAAAAAAAAAAAAAACTAAAATTAAAATTAAAATGATAATTAGTCAAACATTAATAATGGCTGCCAATACCTCATACCCAATACTAAAATACCTCATACCTAATAATAAAATTCATATTAATATTACTAATAATTCAACTAATGTAATAAAAAGTAACTACAAATTAGGACGAAAGAAATACTAGGCAAAAATTAATAAAGTCTTTTCTTTGTGTCTACCGAAACATCCGCTCTTTTAAAACTTCATCTCTCTTCATACTTCCTCTCTCTCACAAAACATCCTCCCACTTAAAACTTTCTCTCTTAAAAAATCCTCCCCCTTAAAACTTACCTTTTTTAAAACTTCCTTCCCTCCGTCTTAAAAATTCGCCTCTCTTAAAATATTTTCTCTTAAAACTTCCTGTTTTAAAAATTCGTCTCACTTAAAACTTCCTCTCTCTTAAAACTTCCTGTTTTAAAAATTCGTCTCTCTTAAAACTTCCCCTCTCTTAAAACTTCCTGTTTTAAAAATTCGCCTCTCTTAAAATATTTTCTCTTAAAACTTCCTCTTTTAAAAATTCGTCTCTCTTAAAACTTCCTCTCTTTTAAAACTTCCTGTTTTAAAAATTCGTCTCTCTTAAAAGTTCCTCTCTCTTAAAACTTCCTATATCTTAATATCTTCTCTCTCTCAAAACTTACCCTCTCTTAAAACTTCCTCTTTTAAAAATTCGTCTCTCTTAAATCTTCCTTTCCCTTAAAACTTCCTATATCTTAATATCTTCTCTCTCTCTCAAAACTTCCCCTCTCTTAAAACACTCTCTCTTAAAACTTCCTCTTTTAAAAATTCGTCTCTCTTAAATCTTCCTCTCCCTTAAAACTTCCTATATCTTAATATCTTCTCTCTCTCTCAAAACTTCCCCCTCTCTTAAAACTTCCTCTCTCTTAAAACTTCCTCTCTCTTAATACTTCGACGTTGCCCACAAGTTCGGTCCCGGGCATCCGCAGACTCCTTCTGTAGAACCACATTTCTGTTGCATCAAATCCCTTCTTCATCTTTGATGGGATTGTCCAGCTCACAATGCCGCACAGGAGGGCAGATATCAGTTAACAGTTCAGTACTCTTTTCCTTGTTTCTAGCGATGTTTTTCTATTTCTTAGTACTCTGCTTAGCTTTTGAAAGGCATCTTTGGCTATCCCAATTTGCCTTCGAATTTCAGTGTCACACTTCCTCTGTTTAAACACTTCCCAGATATTTAAGTTTTAGCACTTGTTTGATATTGGTATCCCCGACTTGCAATTCACACTTTGGGCTCATCCTTTCCTTAACAACCATTCATTCGTCTTGCAGCAGAGGTTTAGTCCTTTCTTCTAGCTTTCCTTCACTACCTTCTGTAGGAGTTTTTTTCTAGTTTTCTTTTCGTGTCTGCTATCAACACTGTGTCATCTGCATATCTTTTGTTGTGTCAGCCAATAATAAATTCTGGTAGGACTTCTAATTCTATCAGAATCGCCTCACTATATAGGTTGAATAAGTCCGGTGAGAAGACGCATCCTTGTCTTACACCTCCTTTCTATTTTTGTATATCTGCTGAACTCATTTTCTACATACACCATTTACGTTATTCTCACTGTTGCCCTCATTGTTATTGTCATATTCACGATGTTTCGGCTGTTGTACGCTTCGGCCTTCTTGATGTAATATACGTTGGAATTTCTAACCGAACCCTTTATTTCGTCCAGGGGGGTGTTCTAGTTCCACGTGCCATGCCTTCCCCGGATATATCTTTTTCAGTGATTTTCCTTTAAGAACTCAACAAGTTTTTGATCAGTTCTGCTGTGGCAAGGCGATAATTCCACTAGGATGCAGAGGATTACAGGGAGTGAAAGCGAATGAGAAGACTTTAGTGAGGAGAAAGGATAATAAAAGAACAGGTTTCAAGAAGACAGATGATGGCGATAAAGCCACTAAGGCGCAAGGGGTTACCAGGAATGAAAGAGAAGATGATTTTAGTGAGGAGAAAGGACAATAAAAGAACAGATTTCAAAAAAACAGAAGATGGCGATAAGGCCACTAAGACGCAAGGTCTTACTGGGAGTGAAAGAGAATGAGAAGACTTTATTGAGGAGAATGGACAATAAAAGAACAGGTTTCAAGAAGACAGAAGATGGCGATAATGCCACTAAGATCCAATGAGTTACTTGGAGTTAAAGAGAATGAGGAGAAAAAGGACAATAAAAAACAGGTTTCAGGAAGACAGAAGATGGCGATAATGCCACTAAGACGCAAGGGGGTTACTGGGAGTGAAAGAAAATGAGAAGGAGAAAGGACCATAAAGAAACAGGGTTCAGGAAGACAAAAGACCAGATACTGGACTCATATCTCTTTGGGTCAAGTCAGTGGATTGCATCATTTTATGCCCTGGGCTATGTGCCCAATAAAGATTAGGACAACAGTCCGAACAACGCAAACATTAAATTGTTTGCGTTGTTCGGACTGTTACAATACTTCATCTCAGAAATAAAAACAGTTCATTCTTTATAATCTCCAAAAATTAAACTGCAACTTCAACGCCATTTTTTGTCTTCCTGATAAATGTTTCTTTATTGTTCTTTTTCTCGATAAAGTCTTCTTATTTTCTTCCACTTTTTGTAAACTCCTGCATCTTAGTGACATTATCACTTTGCTTGGGGTGAAACTTAAAAACAGAAAAGAAAGTAAAATGATGTCAAATTCCTCAGATCGCTCGGCAAGTACAATTTGGAATTAATAACTATGGAGAATTGTGACGTAATCACAGGAATGTTTGTTCATGTGTATTACGACCGCTTTGAATAAGGAGCGAAATCATTTTCTTATCTTTTCGAAGTTATTTTCGAAAGGAAGTCGTAAATGTCAACGAGATACGAAGAAAAAATAATACTAATTAACAATTAGAAATTAAGTAAATTTCTTTCTACTTTTTAAATTTTTTTTTTTTTTCAGGAAAATTTTCAGATAATCAGGAATAAAGGCGGATTAAGAATCAAGTGAAAAGATAAAAAAAGATCCATAGCGTCACCTTATTAAACGATTTCCGGCCCAACGGATTGTCTGAGAAACTGCAATTAACGGATACGTATATAGATATATAAATGTGAATAAAGAAAAAAAACGAAATAAAAGAAAGAAAGGAAACAAAAACAGGTAAATACGAAAGATAATAGAAAAAAAAAACACACGAAATGAAATGGAATGAAAAAAAAATTAATCAAAAAAAATTTAAAAAAGAAAAAAATGCTGCTGAAACCCTTAGGAATTTAATTAGAATTTTTTTTTAAATTGCGTTTTCTTAAGATGATTAGATTTTTGTAAAGTTCTTCAACTTTCTATTCAGGGTCATGATAGATAAACACGAAAAAAGAAACAAACAAAAGATAAATCCGTATACACTCGTGTATAAGGCGAGAGATAAATCAGAAATTTTAATACCTAAAATAAGTATCGATTTATTTATTTTTTTATGGTTTGATGAGCTGTAAAAAAAAACAAACAAATCGATCTTATAATTTGCACGTTATTTAAAACCGGAAAATAAGTTTACAAATGAGACTTTCTAGGAGATAATAACGAATTACTGATAGCAGACCTACTAATTAACCCATAACTTGGGGGAGAAGCGGCGGATTCATACGCCTCCCAATGGTAAGTGAATATAACAACCTCGATGGGAATTGGATCTCGGCTTACAGATTTCCACTTCCGATGCTTTACCAATTACACCACTCGTACATCCAAGATTACTGCACCTGGTATACTCAAGCGGTCACCCATCTAGGTACTGGCCAGGGTCAATATTGCTTAACTTTGTTGGTAGTACGGGAACCGGTATTTCAACACGATATGACCGTAAGCTATACCACGCACATATCCAAGCTTACAGCACCTGGTATTCCCATGCGGTCACCCATCTAGGTACTTGCCAGGCTCAACATTGCTTAACTTTGTTGGTAGTACGGGAACCGGTATTTCAACACGATATGACCATAAGCTATACCACGCACATATCCAAGCTTACAGCACCTGGTATTCCCATGCGGTCACCCATCTAGGTACTTACCAGGCTCAACATTGCTTAACTTTGTTGGTAGTACGGGAACCGGTATTTGAACACGATATGAGTGTAAGCCATACTACGCACATATCCAAGCTTACAGCACCTGGTATTCCCACGCGGTCACCCATCTAGCTACTGACCAGGTTCAGCATGGCTTAACTTTGTTGGTAGTGCGGGAACCGGTATTTGAACACGATATGAGTGTAAGCCATAGTAAGCGCATATCCAAGCTTACAGCACCTGGTATATTCCCATGCGGTCACCCATCTAGGAACTGACCAGGCTCAGCATTGCTTAACTTTGTTGGTAGTACGGGAACCAGAATTTCAACATGATATGAGTGTAAGCCATACTAAGCGCATATCCAAGCTTACAGCACCTGGTATTCCCATGCGGTCACCCATCTAGGTACTGACCAGGCTCAGCATTGCTTAGCTTTGGTATTAATATGGAAACCAGTGCTTCAACACGATATCACCGTAAGCTATACCATGGGCATATCCAAGCTTACAGCACCTGGTATTCCCACGCGGTCACCCATCTAGGTACTGACCAGGTTCGATGTTGCTTCGGTGTTCGTACGAGAACGAGTGTTTCAACGCGATATGTCCGTAAGCCATACCACCCGCACTCCCAAGCTTACTATCAGTATCACCTTATGAAAGGCAGTATTGCCACTACGACACAGGGGGTTACAGGGTGCGGAAGAATTAGAAATAGAAACATTAATAATGAGCAGGAAGAAAGAAAGTGTAATTAGGAGGATATTAGATAGCGACTGACATTTCATTTAAATTTTTGCAGATTGAAGTTTGCTGGAAATCATGGAATTTCACAAGCTTAAAGTGCGAGAAATGAGACACTTAGCATATAATTTACGGTTACATCGAGCTAGCTCAACTGTAAATTGATGAGATCTCGACGCCAGTCTAGTCCTGCGTTTAAATTAAAAAAACTCTAGGTACCCTAGCGAAGAGCTCATCCAAACAATTACCATAAAAGTATTTAAGGAAAAGACACAGAGGGACAACCTTACGGCGGTGGGAAAGTGACTGAAGCCGAACCGCTAAAATTGTTGGTTCTTTGGATTTCATCAAGGAGCACAAGATGAATGCAGGTGCACCGGACCATATGTGGCGGCAATATTCTAAAGATGGAGGAAGGGTGGACTCATAGATATGTCAGGTAGATTCTGAAGCGACAAATTATCTCGCACAACACAGTGAACGAACGTTCTTAGCAGCTGAACTAGCAATGGATTTAATAGAGTCTTTCCACTTCCTGCCAGCAGAGAACCTGAGCCAGAGTAGGCGCAATTAGTCACTTCCCGGAAGGACAGCATCAGCCATGCTGATGGAAAGCAGATAGGGATCTTTCAGATGATTAATGGAGAGAAGTTTAGTTTTGGAGACATTAAAACTGTCTATATGTCTGAGATGAGGTATTATGTACACTATTTACATTATTCGGGCTATTGTCCTCATCTTTGTCACCATATTTATTACAATGTTTTGGTCGTTGTACGCTCTGGTCTTCTTCAGTATCTGTCTATATTTCTGAGATGAGCTATTATGTACACTATTTACATTATTCGGACTATTGTCTTCATCTCTGTCGCCATATTTCTTACAACGTTTCGGCCGTTGTACACTCCGGCCTTCTTCAGTATCTGTCTATATTTCTGAGATGAGGTATTATGTACACTATTTACATTATTCGGACTATTGTCTTCATCTTTGTCGCCATATTTATTACAACGTTTCGGCCGTTGTACGATCCGGCCTTCTTCAGTATCTGTCTATATTTCTGAGATGAGGTATTATGTACACTATTTACATTATTCGGACTATTGTCCTCATCTCTGTCGCCATATTTATTATTACAACGTTTCGGTCATTGTACAGCTCCGGTCTTCTTCAGGTGGCTGGAATGTCGAACTGAACCGTTTATTTCGCTC